GGCCTTTCCTATCTTCCTCGCCGTATCTTTCGCGAGTATGCGTGTCTCTCGCTCGAAGGGATGCGTACGCGAGTACTCTTCCTCCGGACGCAACGCGTCGGTTCCGCAGGACGACGAAGGATTATAAATCTCGGCGAAAGAGCAGGGATATCGATACCGCATCGTATGATTGCCAATGGAACGGATGGACACCTTTCTTTACGCGCCTGTTATTACCTATGTTTGGATCGCGGATGTACAAGCAAAATAGTACATCTCTTTTTTTATGAAAACTTTTGGAATCCATGCAGAGATTTGTTTGAACTCGTCTAGCCAATTTAAACGTTTCTGGATTTGTAAATTTACCGTAAATGAATGGAATGAGTCTATAATTTATTTGAAACGAAGAGGATCATTGGAACGTAGAGAATTCGATTAATACGAAACGAAATTCTCTTCTGTATAACTTCTAGGTAACTAAAGTACAAAACACTTCACAGTGGTATTGAAATATTTCTAAATTTCATTTCGACGAATAGGACACCATCTACATATTAAATAAAAATAATTTACCAAATAGTTCAAACAAACAAATTATTCAACATGAAGTTACTGTCTGTTCCAGCTCTGCGTGGTAAGTTTGATCCAACGAAATTCTCAAACTTCGTTCGAAAGTCGAGAGAGTGTCACACGGACGCGTCAGCAATTAGTAACGATAGGCCGCGAGACAGCCGATCCGGTAAAGAATTACGCAAAAACGAAGAGCGTGTCGACGCGAGAAACAGTCGGAGACGAGAAGGAGTGATTAACACGTGGTCGATCGTGAAAACGGCCCGACGAAGATCGATGAGGATCGGAAAGGTGGCCGAGCGGTGTATCACGGTAGCCGGCTCGTTATTCGAATTCCTGGGATTCCCGGCGTCGTCTGGAGCGGCTGGCACGCAAAGTCTCACCGGGTATAACCTCCGATCCTCGAGCCTCGCCACTTTGGTCTCCTCGTCTCTTTAACTTTGGACTTACCGAACCGGATGGCACGATCACGGGGTCCAGGACCGCGTAATTAATTGATATAATAATCGTGACGGCCGGCCTTAATTTCGTCGAGACGATCATGCCTGTGCACATTACCAACGCTATTCTCTAGAGAATGGAAAGATCGAGTTATCTCGCAAGGTTCGAATCTCTTAAGTATTTCCTAATGGTTCCAAGCACGCTCGAATCTAAGTGGAACAGTTTCGAACGTTTCACGAGTACTTTCGAGAGAAATGAAAACAATACTTCCAAGCAGACTCGCTGACAGAGATGGGATCGAGTACCTCATTTTTACTTTCCAGTAGTATTCGAAACTTAGATGTCGAACTTGGATTCGTAAGAACATATTGAGATTGATCCCGTCCCTATCATTCTCGTCTTGCCGTGTCGTCGTCGTCTCTCTTTCATCTTCCCTCCCCTGTCTGTCCCTCAACGACGAAGACGACGACGACGACGACGAATCATCGACGTCCGCCAGCACAGTCTCACCAATAAGCCTCTTCAAGGTTGCCATCGTTGGACTACCATAATCCGCCTCGTAGATTATTATCGGCGAGAGAAGAAACTTGCGACATACACCAAAGGAGTCGCGCTCGTTCTTCCCTCTTTCGTTCGGCCCTTCCTTCTTCTCTCTCTCTGATACTCTCCTGGTTCTTCGCTTTTATTTTCTTTCTTTCTTTTTTTTCTTTTTTTTTTTTTTT